GAAAAACAGTTGTTGAATAGATTTATTGAAAATATACATTTTTTTTTTTCCGTTTTGATTGGAGTTATGGGTGTCTTAAGTTCTGAGAAGAGGAGGGAACAGCAACAGATTGAGAATACATATTGTTGCATGATGGGTCGATCTGCTGAAATGCCTGCCTATCAGTTGAGTAAATCTTCCGTGGCCCTAAAAACGGTTATTGCTGTTAAATGACTGAGGGAGAGTGTTGAAAATTAATTGTTCGCCTGTTCTGTTTTGTTTTGCTGCAAATCAGCAGAAAATCAGTCAAAAAAATAAAAAAAAAAAACACCATTATTTTTTTTTTTCATTTATCACCTTCAAATAATAACTGTTTTGACTAGTCGGGAAAAAAAAAAGTACATATATATATATGTGCACTATTGGTTTTGAAACTCTTCAATGGTTATTAGGTATGATGACGGGCGTTAGATGTGGTGAAGGGCATAAAATATGGTTATTTTTGTTATTAACCGTATTTTTTCTTCATGACAAGAACATCAATAAGAACAGCAAACAGTAGTTACCAGAGATCAAAGAAAAAGAAAAATGAAACAAGGACAAAAATATGTTCTATCTCCTATTTGCAGGCGTATATTTCCAGCCTTTAAAGTTAAACTGTCTGGGCTGGATAAACGGTCTAAATATATTCTGATGTTGGATATTGTACCGGCTGATGAGTGCCGGTATAAGTTCCATAATTCACGGTGGATGGTTGCTGGTAAAGCAGATCCTGAAATGCCAAAGCGACTTTATGCACATCCGGACAGTCCGGCAACCGGTGAACATTGGATGGCAAAAGGAGCAAATTTTCATAAGCTTAAGCTAACCAACAATATTTCAGATAAACATGGCTTTGTAAGTTTTTACAAGAAAAAAAAGCCAATATTCTCTTTTTTTTTGCTGATTTCATAACATAGATATATTAACATAATTACATGAACAAATATTTAAAATGTTTCTCAATGCATTTCAAAATTTATACATTTTAACAAATTTTTGATTGAATGTGAACAATTTTTTTGGATTGAATATACAGAATAACGTTTTTTCTTTGATTTCAAATTATCTGTTCGGTGGATTCAGGTTAGCCAAAGATATAGAACAGAACAGTATGTCTGAGTTATGTTGGCTTTGCATTAAGCGCTTTCTTTTTTTTTTTCGTCTTCTTCTTTCTGTTTATGTAAATTTATAATATATTTCTGAAAAAAAATAATGCTCAAGAAGCAGCAATAGCAATATCAGCGGTAGCATCAGATAGCAACATCAATTACAACGACAGTAGCACAAATAATAGCACCAATACTTAGTTTAAGTGTCAGCCAGTGTAAACAGTACTCTGTTACTGCGGTTGTCAGTTTTAGTTATTGCTGTTGCTTACGAATAGTATAACAGATATTATGGCTGATACTGTTGAATGAATCTGAGATTCTTGAAATTGTCATCAAAAATTTCACCTTAGGATTTAATTGTTATTGTTGTTGTCGTCGTCATCGTCGTCATCGTCGTCGTCGTTGTCGTCGTCTTCGTCATCGTCGTCACCAGACTGATGACAACGCTATTTGGCGACGATGATACTGATAATTTAGTGCGGCAGTTGTCTCTTACCGCAAGATCGATGTCTTAAAACAGTTTCTCCTTTCTTTCCAAAAAAAGTATTTTTTTTTTTGTAGTGATATAAATAGACAAGTAAAAAAATTTATTTATTTTATTTATTTATTTTGAAGAACCTTAAAAACTTTCACCTTAAAAATTATGACTTTTTTTTTTTGCTCTCTTTTCTTTTTTTCTGTGTCTCTTAAATCTGAATTGGTGTTTTGGTGATTGTTCCAATTAGTAAATTGCGTTTACCCCAAATTACTCATAGAAAGAAAGCAAAGTAAAAAAAAAAAACTTTTTTTTTTCTTTTCAAATCTGTGTTTCAGTTTAGTGTTTTGACAGTTTTTAGTGGCATTTTTGAAGAAAAAATAACAATAAAAAAAATTTCAATGTTTTTTTTTATTCTTTTGCCTTTATTTATTTATTTATTCGTTTTTTTTTTCTTGCCACTGCTGATTATTGATGATCTTTAAATATTTTTTTCCCAATCTTTTATTCGCCATTGTTATTACTGTTGTTTTTGATTCTTAGAGGAACCAAAAAAAAGCAGAAGAAGAATCATTGATATCTGGATGAATTTTTCTGTAGATTTCTTCTTCAGTTCTGTCAGCTCAAAAAACCGTCGCAAAAATATTATAGCAACAAAGAAGAAAAAAAAGCTTACAACTTTAAATCGTTTTTTCATTCCAAGCTGAACCTCTCAATCTTCATCTTCGTCGTTTGTCTCTCAGAAACCAAACTGGTGTTGTTTGAAAGTTGAAATTTTGGAATTTCTGGAATGCCTTTAACAGTTTAGTTAACAATAAATTGAAAAACAGATGTATTTTTTTTTCACATTATTTTATTTTTAGATTTTTTTCGCCTTGCTTTCTTCATTTTTTTTTTTTTTTTTTTTTTTTTTTTTT